GGAGACGGTGTGAAGAAGAAATGAAAGCTTGTGGGCATTGGTGAATCCAGGTTGAAAAGACTTCAGACGACAGAGTGACTTGGAGACGTGCTACTGAAGTTCATGGGATAAATAATAATAACCTGAGAGAGGCTGTTCAATGGAAATCTTGAAGTAATTCCAGTTATCTTTCATCATCTAATATCATCAACTTAATGTCTTTACACATAAAAATCAACCTCCTCCTAACCCTTAACTATGAGAAAATTTCATCTCATCGAGTTTAAATCAATACTCAATAATTATCTATATTTGAGATGAATGGGGATTTTTTTAATATAGAAGTAGTATTCACCGACTGACATAAGTTGGAGAAACCATTGAAAATCTGGGAGTACTGGACAGCTGTTTCGTCCTAGTATGGGACGCCTCAGCAGTATGCATCCACGACCCGGCTAGGGGTCGAACTCAGGAACCTTCACGTTTCACAGCCATTCAGCTACTGGGTCGGTTTCCAGTGGTTCACTGGTTCACTTACGACTGGATGACCCCAGTGACTGAATGGTTAACGCGTTTGCCGTGAAATCTAAAGGTCCTGAGTTCGATCCTTAGCCAAGTCGTAGATGCGTGCTGCTGATGAGTCCCATACTAGGACGAAACAGATGTCCAGTCTTCCCAGGTTTTCAATGGTTCCCCAACTGATGTCAGTCTATGCTGAATACTACATTTAAACTATCTACATTATTTCTTATCATAAAAAAATTTTCAATTATCGACTGTAAAAGATAACAGACAGTTTCATTGTATCCATGAATCAATAATATTTTGATACTACAAAAGAGAACTAAACAACAACAACAAGAAAAGGGGATAAATTGAAATGACCTCATAGGTGTTAGAAGAAAAATCAGGGAGAAAATAAACCGGAAAAATTTATTTAGGTCATTCATAATTTTAACAAAGAAATTATGAATATTTTAAGGCAGTATCCAATCCAACTAGCGATATCAATTTATAGTTCCTTCTTTTTATCAAAAAAAAGGTGAAATAATAAACATTAAATTGAACAATTTCATCAGGGAACAAAGTACAAGATGAAAGAAATCAACCCTTAAGTCAACCAATAATAACTACCTTTTTAAAACAACTAGTTCCCTTTATAAACTTTGACAAAACAATAAGAAGACGTAAATTGTCTGAACCGTGTGTAATGTGCATTTGCGCAACACATTTCGAACTATCTGATCACACACACACGTACTTGTCATAGGTATTTATATAAAAACTCATGAAGATAAGGGGTGAGAAAATAAAAAGGGGGTCAGGTAGGAAGGCTGACTTAAAGGCCGAATAACAATGAAAATCAATAGAGCCAAAAAAATAATAGTACATCGAACTTGGTTTTCAATAGTTGAATTTACCAAGGAAGATTTAATGTGACAACAAATTGTTTATGAACACATAAAAGTGGTTTCAACTTCCTTATAGCTAAGGCTTCAAAAAATTTCAGGATCCCTCCCCAACATGTTTTGTAAATAGGTGTAAAGGGAGTAGCCACATCAATCTTGTGATCTGTCTCAACGGTATGTTTGGCTACCGAAGAACTTGGACGTCTGCTACCAACATTTATAGGTTCAGGTGATTTAATTTGCTTCTGAAGCCACTTTGGAATATGTTCCGAGGCCCCCTTTTTATTTTCTCACCCCTTATCTTCATCAGTTTTTATATAAATACCTATGACAAGTACGTGTGTGATCAGATAGTTCGAAATGTGTTGCGCAAATACATTACACGGTTCAGACAATTTACGTCTTCTTATTGTTTTGTCGAATAACTACCTTGACATAATCACAGTTATAAGAAATACATTTGATCCACGGTAATAATTTTATTTTAACGGTTATTTTCTACTTCTTTCTCCCTCACTGCCTGTGTCACTTGTTGTCCAATTAAAATAGATGATGAAATATCCCATGTTATTGGTTGCACAAAATCGAAAAGTGCCATAAAAGGGACTAAACTGAGGATGGGTTGCTTCCTTTTCATGATTAGTGATGATACCGTCCAAAGTGTTGTAACCGAAAATGAATCAATCTTTATGGAACGTTTTTGTCTCGCCATGTCTCCGTCCTTAGAGTCTTTGAAGGTCGCCCTGAAAGAGTATGAGAAATAGACGTACACACACACTACGTTGTGTGAGATTCACATTCACAGGGTGACCGAAGAGCTTATGTTAAAGGTAGTTTGCTTTAAGCCTAGTGAACGCCGATCAATAGGTGGTGTAGTGATAAGAAGGCCAGATGTGTTTGTTTTCATTGTTTACTTCATAGAATATCCCTGAAATGTTCTTGTCGGGCGTTCATGTTCGCAAAGTTCTTAGAAGGTTTCTGGACAGTTACTCAGTGGCTGTTAACTAACAATCATCCCTACGATTCACTGTTTTATGACAATAATTCTTGGATGCGGAAGTTGACAGGAGCTGAATTGGAGAGCATAAGGCCATTGGTAATATCCGAAACGGCTGTATTTAATGTTGTTGATTTGGTTGATACACACTATGGTAAACGATTGAATAGTTAAGATGTGTTCAATAGACGCTATCGCCTCTTCACTCGGTGTAATTTGACCGGTAATTGAAGTTTCCATCGTAATGATGTTATTGTAGCCAGTTATGAAAAGTTGCAGGCGCATATAATCAGTCAAGGTGGATCAGCATCCTTCTGTGTCACAGAGGGTGGAGGTCTAAAATCCTTTTTTTTACAGGTACTTAGTCTCCTACCTCTTACCTCATAAGCACAAGTGGGCTTCTGTTCACCGTCCACTAGGCATTCTTTTGGATCAAACTAACACCAACTTCGTCGAAACCATACATCGTACGTTGAAGCTGTATACACTGACCAGGAAAATGCCAACTTATCAGATTCCTACGAGTAAGTATCCTAGTCCAATAGGAAAGTACCTTGGCCACATAAACACATTGACTTTTAAACAAAAGAATCAGCCAATCATTTTTCATTTCAAATTTCTTTCTTCCACCCTATGTAAATTATGGGGGAGAAGTGTATCGTGTAATAAACGTCAACCGTATATAGCCTACTGCACGACTGTGCACACCAGATTGTTGAGTACATTATAACTGGGTGTGCACACTCGTTCACTAGGCAATATGCCAGCCATATATATTGTGTGACGACTAGATGTCAAAATCTCAGTAGATAGGCTTGAGCTCGAACCCATGAGCTACAGCCCCACCCTTGACATACTAGTCAGGTTTATTTTGTTATGAAAATCTAATCAATCTGTACTATGTGAAATGGCTAATCCTTAAAATTCTACAAATAATAAAAAAGCTTGGTTGGATAGTCGTAGAAGTAACTACTATCTAACGAAGGGATAGAGAGAGAAGTTATACTGATTGCTACAGACATTATTGTGAAGCGAAGTAATTTGAAGAAGTCCACCTTCATACTACGTTCTATGTCGGTCAGTGTTCTTCAATCTAGACTACGAGCTTCATAAAAAATGTAACAAAAAGGATAATCATGTTCACATTCATATGACAAACAGACTCATTGTTGAATGCTGAGGATTTCTTTTATTTCAACAATTCAAACTAATAGTCGAGTAAAACCCCCACTTTATGATTGAAGTGAAATAAAAATTTAGTCGCCAGTTGGACCTTGTAGCTCAGTTGGTATAGCATGGGGCCTTTAACCTGATGGTTGTTGAATTATTTTCCCCTTGGGTTCCTAGTGGAACATAGGGCTTCAGTAGCTCGTCATCATTCCACTCTGTTCTCTGCAATCTTTTGGACATGGCATTACGACTGCCCAGAAGTTTTCATTTCTTCCTCACACCATCTCCATGTCACCCTCACCTCGGACGGCCAACTCGTCGTTCCCCACCTAGGTTCCATTCGACTGCCTGGTGAGTGATGCTCCCAGTCGGACTTCTCAGGGCACGCCCAATCCATCTCCACTTCCACACTCTTCTGCATATTTGTTGAACGATAGCTTCTTGGTTGGTTCGTCACCAGCCACAGTTCACTCTTGCTTATTCATATTATTCTGGCCATCTGAGCTTCAGTAACGAGCCAGCGTAGGCAGTTGTTGATGAATGTGTGTAGTTTGTTGGAAATGCTTTTCGTGACGCGCCAAGTCTCTCAACCTTACAGAAGCGCTGACTTGACTGGATTGGTGTTAAAAATCCGGATCTTGTTCACGCTGTATGCTGAGTGAAATATATCTCCATATTGGTTTCAGATTGGTCAAAGCCTGTCTCGCTGTGTTTCCGATCCTGGCTGGCTTTGACGTCCTCGTCTGTGTCGCTGCCACCTGTAGTTGGAATTATGCTGCCTAGATAGGTGGAAGAGACTACTTCCTTTAAGTTTCTCCCGTTGATGCTGATTTGAGCTTCTTGTTGTTGTTGTTGTTGGTGGTGGTGTCGGTTGGATATCATCATCACCCCTGTCTTCTCCGCATTCACCTGAAGTCCCGTCTTCGCTGCCTCTTCTATCAACTTGTTACTTTCTGCATGTAGATCTTCGAGTACCTAACTATTAAAATCTACCTTAATATAAAAAAAATACAGTTAAGAATGATCAGTCTATCCATAGGATAACAGCATTCCTATCAAACAGATTAATACCAAGACATTTTTAAAGATGAAATAATCCCTACATAATATGATCATATGCACCGCACCGTAGTAGGAGTCCGTTACAACAGTTCCCCAAGAGAGGAAATACCTGAAGACAATAATAGATGTACGTGTGTGTGTGTGTGTGTGTGTGTGTGTGTGTGTGTGTGTGTGTGTGAAGAGTATACCGATAGTGAAGATGGATGAACTTTCTTTATGGTAGATGACAACAATACTTCTATTTCATAGATTTCACTGAAGTCTGTGCTAATATTCTTTTACTTTTCAATTGTTACCTATTTCTCGTGTATAAAGTATGGTAGGGAAAAAAATTCAAGTTAGTCATCATTCCATTATTGAAAAAAGAAAAAAAAGTTACTTACTATTTAGCAGAATCGTTTAATTGATATTCATTTGAACGAGCAAAACATTCTTGTACACCAGAATCAGCCCATAATCGTTTCATTGCATCTAATAATTCTTCTGAAAATGGTTTTGTATCCTCCATTGCTTGTATTACATCGCAAACAATACGAGCATCTTCTGCCTATAGAGTAGACAAAAGTAGGATACGAGTAAATAAGTGAATTAAACTAAATAAAAATGTTAACTACTTAAATAAGTAGACAATGTTAAAAAATGAAAATTTATTGTCATACAAGATACTCAGAACTATGCCTTTGTCATATACACTAACTCTACATACTTGACTAGAATTAAATACTGAATTCCACAATGGTTGAATCATCAAGTTAATATCTTCAAAATTCTATAATAACTGAATACATTCGATTGATCATAAGATAGTAACTAATTTCAAGTTGTCTAGTCCGGAGTGGATACCAAATTCTGTCAATCAATTTAGCAATGTGTCAATATGATTAATCACAACCCGACTAGTTCAGTGGTGACGTCAATGACTACAACACTAGGTGGAGCAGGGTACATTCTCAGTTGGGACATCAGTTCCGACAAGGCTGTAGATACCCTTTGCTGATAAGTGTCAATAAGCACAAAACTTCCGTCAACCAGGAATTCTTCTTACAGGTTACCTCCAAATAACTAACTTCCCTTGGGTTCCTAGTGGAACATAGAGCTTCAGTAGCATATCTCCATCATACTCTATTCTCTGCAATCTTCTCTTTCAACCTCGCTCCACTACTACCCATAACTTCTCATTTCCTCCTCATATCATCTCCTCCATGTCACCCTCACCTCGGACGGCCAACTCGTCGTTCCCCACCTAGGTTCCATTCGACTGCCTGGCGAGTGATGCCCCCAATCCGTCTTCTCAGGGCATGCCTAATCAATCTCCACTTCCACACTCTTCTACATATTTGTTGAACGATAGCTTCTTGGTTGGTTCGTCACCAGCCACAGTTCACTCTTGCTTATTCATATTATTCTGGCCATCTGAGCTTCAGTAACGAGCCAGCGTAGGCAGTTGTTGATGTGATGAATGTCTGCAGTTTGTTGGGAGAGCTTTTCATAACGCGCCAAGTCTCTCAACCATCACATAGAAGCTCCGACTTCATTAACATTGGTGTCGAAAATCCGGATCTTGTTCTTTATGCTGAGTGAAGAATATCTCCACACTGGTTTCAGATTGGTCAAAGCCTATCTTGCTGTGTTTCCGATCCCGGCTGGCTTTGACGTCGTCGTCCGTGCCTGTGCCACCTGTAGTTGAAACGATGCTACCTTGCCTAGGTAAGTGAAAGAGACTACTTCCTTAGATTTCTCCCGTTAGTGGTGATTGGTGCCTCTGGTCGTTGATCTTGTGGTTGGTTGGGTATCTTCATCACCTCCGTCTTCTCTACATTCACCTGAAGTTCCGTTTTCTCTGCCCAGCCTCTTCTGTCAACTTGTTAGTTTTCACCTTTAGATCTTCCAGTTTGAGTGACATTAAACAGTAGACATAAATCGTCATCGGCTAAATCAAAATCTTCTTGTAGGGTCTTTTCATCGGTCCAGCGTACACCCATTTTCTCGCTCCTCACAAAATCAACTGAATATACAAGCTAAATATTCAAAAGTGGCTTTCGTTATAAGTTGATATATTAATTGAACAGCTGATGAAGATTTTGAAGTACTCAGTTGATGTTTCATCTCTCTCTTATACATTTCAATTCAATTTCAATAATTATTCTATGATTGTTACCTGATAATGATTGTTGACAATCCCAACTTCTATGTTGACAACGGATTCAAATGAATGGCTGTTTAGATTTCGAGTGAAAGAATTTAAAGTTGACCAATATGATAGGGAAAAATGTATAGTACATGAAATGACCAACAAATAACAACAAGCATCAATCACCATCAACTTGAGAAACCTAAAGGAAGTTGTCTCTTTCACCTACCTATCTCTACCTGGGCAGCATCGTCTCAACCACAGGCGGCACAGACATACGTGATGTCAAAGACAGTAAGACAGGCTTTTCTGCATTCATCTGATATAATCAGTGTGGAGATCTACTGAATACACCATAAAAGACAAGATCCAGCTTTTCAACACCAAGTCAGTCAAGTCAATGTTTTTATATGGCTCAGAAACTTGGCACCTTCCGAAAAGAATTTCCAACAAACTACAGACATACATCATATCACATCAACAGCTGCCATCTACGATCACTCCATACTGACACTCAAGATCACATCACATAGCAAGAATAAATAAGAAGCAACTCCCGCTGGCCCCGCAACCAACCAACCAACAACCTATCGCCCAACAAGTATGCAGAAGGAGAAAGTGGAGGTAGACTGGATTGGATTGGATTGGACATACACTGAGAATACCATTTAGGGACATCATGCGTCAGGCCGGACCGTCGAATGGAAGCTAAATAGGAGACAACGAGTTGGGAGTTCGTGGTGAGGGTGACATGGAGGAGATGGTGTAAGGATGAAATGAAATCTTGTGGGCAGTGGTGGGGCCAGGTTAAAAGAGAAGACTGAACGGAAGAGAGTGAAATGTCGACGTTCTACTGAAGCCCTAAGGTTTCTCTGGGAACCCAAAGGACAAATAATAATGATAAACTAAAGCGTTTACATGGGAGCATATCTACGAATAGAGGTCGGACAATTCCACGCAGTATACAAACGAGGAGTGAAAAGTAATAATCAATAACAGCTAGTGCCCACTAAACCCCCACACAGTGGCGTAGCGCATAGTGGTTTGGCGTTTGGAGTGATAGGTACATGGTTTGAATCCCAGTAGGAGTCACAACACTTATTGGGGTGCAGGTACATCCAGCTGAAGAATTTGAAACAGGACGAAACGCACGTCGTGAGTCCCACTGCTAGCCACGGAATAGACTGTAATATAATGAATAACTGGAAAATATCGAAGCATCCTCATTGGACAGCATCTGCCAACAGAAGTAAATCAATTTAACCAAGTACATCACTTTGTATTAACTCTTGATAAACTGGTTTGAGTATGTAACAACTTAGATGAGTATTTAGTAACGCCAGATCCTATGGTGATAAGATCCATCTGATGGACTTAGTTTAACTCATAGTATATTATTTATTTCATAAACATATTTGTTAACAATGAAAGATAAAACGTTTTAGCCAATCTATTGTCAAAACACTAATGACGTTCATGGCGGCGATTGATGAGATATTTGACTATCTATCGAAGGATCAGTATACTGCGCTGTACTCCATTCTGTCATGTTGTACTCATGTTTGGTGGAATCGCCATATGTGTGAGCAATGCTGAAGTCATTTGAAGGGTACTAGGAAAGATAGGCAAGTCAGTTGATGAGGTAACAACCTTCATCAACTGACATAACTTGCATATGTAACGCATATAGTATGCCTAGCCATCATCTACCTAGATATGGTTTACTAGGAGGTGAAGTTGGATTAGATTGTTAGACGGTTGAGGGTGGTCACACACAAACATATGGCACCAGTCGATGAAGTTGATAACTGTTCATCTAAGTCATGTTGGGGGTAGTGTAGACTATCTAGTTGAGGTTGTCGAGATAACAGGAATCAATGTTTGAGAAATTTTGTTGACATGGCTAAAAATCGGTGACAATGCCGTCGCAGATGTATTCACTCCTTGACGTCTTCTGAAGCTTACATATTTGTACTAACCTTCATCTTCCAATTGTATATTCCCTAACGTAAATTTTTCCAATTGTGGCAAGTGGAACTCTGATCCATTTCTCTATGGGGGTCTATGTTGACTTTGTCATTCAGTGTTTGGTGAACATGCTGATATGATCCAGAATCTTCTGGACATCTTGAATGGTGATTTGAGAATACTTTGAATGCGTTTCTCGCCACCAGATTGCAAATTGTTGCTTCGTCAGCAATGGTGTACTACTTTAGTGTGGCATTTGAATTTGTGGAGCTTACTTGAATACGGGTTCCTCATTCATCTGTGTAGTTGTGAAATATGTCTATTAAAGGTGGAGAACATAAGAAGGCGGTTTCAGATGATGGTTTGATCATCATTATCGTTTTACTGGCATAAATCAAGTGTGCTGGAGCCACTACATCATTAACCTACAAGTCAGTGAAAGATGTAAGTCACTTGGTGATACTGTGAATCTTCATTAATTCAGATGGTTTGGAAATGTGCTATGCACGCTTAGTCACCATCTATCTTATCGTCGAATAATCTTGATGAAATGGTTAAAATTCGATCACATTGTCGCAGACTCTATCTGCTTTAATATCAGTCTTTTTCTATCCACCTGTTATCTGTATACTAACTGGGACTTGTAGTAAATTGAACTCTGATGTACTTGTGTATAAGGTTCTATACTTTGAGTACATATGTCTAATATGAATGAGGTCGTCAGTGGTCATAAACAACACAACATGTGAAGAAATGCAGACAAATATGAATTTATGTTTATCTATCTAGCCATCATCATTATTTGTTAGTATATTGTGAAAAACAAGATACTTTTTGTATATATATACATAGTTCCTGTGGGCGAATGATTTATGCTTTCGATAGTAATCTACAAAAACAATCATTTTTCATTAATCTGTTGTGTAATTGAAAAAAAGAATAAAACAACCAACAAAATAAACATTAATCCATAGAAAATTGTGTCTCCTTTTGTCTCCATTTTCGAAATAAATGCCCCATGAATATAGACAATAGTACAATGTATAATTAGACTGGATGAGGCTAAAAATTATCCCTATGTGTAACCACCACCACCACCACCACTGTGCTTGTGCTTGTTCTGTGTATTCAAGTCTGATGTACTTTCTATCATTCTGTATGAATAATTTACCTATTGTGATACTTCTTAAAGTATTTCAAGTTGTTATTCATCGTAGACTGACATCAGTTGGAGGAATAAAGGAAACATGGGAGCACTGGACAGCTGTTTCGTCATAGCATGGGACTCAGCAGTACGCAATCACGACTCCGCCCCACCAGAGATCGAAACCGCTACCTTCAGGTTCTGTGGCCAGCACGTTACCACTGAGCCACTGGGTCAGAATCTAATGCTCCATATCTCCAACTTCTGTTAGCTCACGACATAGTACAACCGCCATCCAATGTCA